ACCTTAAGACAAAGTGGAGATTGTGCCTTTGAGGCCATAACACTGAACATCTGGAATCAAATAATGCAGGAATTAATGTTCTGTGTATTTAATTGTGCCGTTTATCTTACCAAATTTTATGTGCATGCTTTTATCATCTGGCTCATTGTGCTCCCTTTTTGTTTTAGTTTTTGTTGTTGTTGCTTTTGTTTCTATATGTTGAAAGGCATTCTTTTAAAGCACGTAGTCCAAGTGCTGTATAAAATGAATGTACTTTCTTACTTGCTTAACTTGTGTTTCAGCTGGCCAGTAGAAATATGTCTACATTCTTAAGATTACAAGGCAAGAATGCAAATAAAAGAGACCTTTTGGCCTTTACTGCACTGTTGCATAGAAAAAAAAGAAAAGCTGACAAAGACCATATCCAGGAAACATTTCTGAGGATAAGGAGACATTCTCTTTTTTTTCTGTGAAAATGATCACCCTGCTGCAGCACAAAACATCTGGAATATAGACTGAATAGACTTTTAGTAACAGACTTCATTACTGTCAGCTTTTACAGCGAAGCCCAGGAAACCTGTGACATTTTTTAAGTATGTTAAAAAGTGGCCAAAACATGAAGCTCAGAGATAATTTAGAGATAGATTTTTCTCTCTGATGCCGTTCCAGGAAACTGTCCTTTCTTCCATGATTGTTTACTTTGGGAGAACTGAGATCCAGAAACTTTCTGTACAACCTCTTATTCCTGACACTTCAATCCCACAAGCTTATGTAACACAGCAGCAACATCCGCACTCAAGTGTATTTTTAGACTTTAAGAGTTAAAAAATATACAGAGAATCAAGCAAAAGGAAAGCAGGGACCTTGTAGAGCACATGCTGTCAGGCTCCCGGGGGAGACCATGTGTCGGGCTCGATGCTGGGAGCAAGATGTAGGGGTCAATGGTCAGTTCTCACAGGAAACAGAAGGAAGTGGTGTTTGTGTTCACATACTGTAACTCAGCTTTAACAACAACAATGGCCCAAACTGTGTGGACACAAGTCAAATTAAGTTAAGAATACAATTCATTTTGCAGGTAATTTGGAGCTCTTCAATGAGAAAGAGAGAGAGAGAGAGAGAGAGAGAGAGCTTCAAAGACTAACAGGCCGGATCGCCAGAGAAGTTCATCAATGACTCTTAAATTAGGAAGAAGGGCTGGAGAACAGTCTGGGGGTAGTTGGCCGAAGAATGAATTAGACGCCACACAAGTTTTACACAACTCTTTCATTCATTCATTAAACCTTTGTTTCAACTGGGGCAGCTGTGGCTCAGTTGGTAGAGTCATTGTCTCTCAAGTTGAATGTCTAGGGTTCAATCCCCAGCTCCTGCAGCAACATGTCCAATGTGTTCTTGGGCAAGACCCACTGCTTCCTCTGTGGTGTATGAATGGGATTAGATACTCTTACTACATAGCATCCACTACCATCAGGGTGTGAATGTGTAGGTGTGCCATGGTGTAAAAGCACTCAGAGTATTCAGAACACTAGGAAAGTGCTAGCTCAAGTCTATTTACCATAACTGCAGTTTAACAACACAAGGGACCTCATTTACATTTTATCCAAGTGAAATAAAATCAACACAAGATCCCAGGCACCAGGGACCACTACTAAGAAAGTGAGATAAAATAACAACAAAATGTAAGAATCATAAAAGAAAAATAAGAAACTGTCATGAATCACACAGAGAACGACAATGCAAATTAAATTACTTCTGTTAAATAAGAACAGCTGGATATAAGGAATAAGATTACACTCAATGTTTGAATCACCATGAGGATAATCATGAGGTAAAACGGCTATGGCTCAGTTGGTCGAGTCAGATGTCTCTCAACCGGAAGGGATCTGGGTTTGATCCCCAGCTCCTGCAGCCACTCAGATCTGTACTTGGGCACCTAACCCCAAGTTGATCCCACTACTTGTTGGCGACGAATGTGTATAAATGGGATTAGTTACTTCTGATTGACACTTTACATAGCAGTTTCTACCATCAGTGTGTGAATGGGTGTGAATGGGTAGGTGTGACCTGCGGTGTAAAAGCACTTTGAGTAGTCAGAAAACTAGAAAAGTCTATTTACTATTTACTTAAAGTGTTGGGGAAATTTAAAGTTAAATCTGTAGTATTCTTTTTATTTCAGTATTCTAAAAGCCTCAGCTGGATTAAATTTATTGTTGACATACCTTTTGTTTGTTTGGTTCCACCTGTCTTTCCAATTAAACAACCAAAGACCTCTCTCTGTACACAATGCCTGTGTCAGTGAGCACTACACTTTAATTCACTACTGTGGCTATTTATAGCACCACCTAGTGGGCTATCAGAGACATAAAAATGGCTCTAACATCGTTTTTTAAATTCTTTTATAATAGTCTGTAGTTTGTACTTTGTTTTACATTGCTTGTTTCTAGTGATAGTTTTGTTATGTCCACCTGGTCTGCGGTTAATTTGCTGCAGATGTTGGCCAGGACACAATTTAAAATGACACTTCACAGTCACTGCTCAATTATATAAAAAGAATTGATAGATGAATGCAGCTTTGTGTTATTTGACTGCTGAGGTCAACATTTTTAGTGAATGAAGGCGTTGATGTAAAGTGTCCACCCACAGCACTTCATGTAACTTGTCATATAAAGAGCAGTTGTGCTTGAATAACCTTGGTGCATAAAATAGGTGGACACTGGAGCCTTGTAGAGTGTGAGCTTTTAATTTGTTCAAAGTGTTACATACAAGAACACACTTTCAACTTTCCAATGTTAACCATCAAGAGACTATACTTACAATGTCTGAATCCACTGCAACATGGGTAAAAAAAATATTTTGAGTGTTTAGTACATTTTCCCTAACTGTTAATTTCTAGCTGTGTGACCGAGATGTGTAGAGGCTGCTGCAACAACCCCCAGATTCTCCAACTGAGAGTGTGTTAAGTGTCATGTGAATTTTCATGTCACAAAGTCTTCTGTTTCAATCGTGTCTCTGAGAAATAACTGAGCTGCTTTCATATAACATTGTGTCAACTGCCTGGATTCTGTTCACAGACATGGTGAATGTAAAGCGACATTAGCAGTATAGTCTATGCTGTAGGTTAGCTCAAATTGGTTGTCGTGGGTACAAAGAGTAGAAGTGTCATATGCAGCTCCACCTCGACAAGCAACATCAATTGTTGTAATGCATCAAAACTTATAATCCACTGATATATCAATTTTTCATTCTGAATCTGAAATGAACGATCCCACATAAGAGTGGATTTACTGGATGATGGAGCTTAGCCATAGAATGAGTAATACTTTACTTTTGCATCAATACAAATCCTAGAACTTCGTCCTTCACTGCAAAGAAAACAGTGAAATGTTAATACTTGAATGAACAGTAAAGGTCTTTGTTATGTTGCTGTCATAATGAGACCAATCAGTCCTCTCGTTCTCTGTGAAGAAAACATTTTTGATAAAAGTTCATTTAATCATACCTCCATATTTACTCTTGTTTCTAGTGCTCAACCGTTGACTCTTCACAAGAGCAGGACATTTTGAAATATAATTTGCAGTGTAAGAAACCTCCTGGCAACTCCCAAAGAGCAGGAATACTGTAAATGAGTTTAAAGGCTTAAAAGTGATACTTTTTCTTTCTCTTTTTGAGAGTACAAGTATAACATGAAGATATGATGATATCAGTAAATAGTCAAATTATGACTTGATGTTGGAAATGAATTAATAAATTAATACATTTTCAAATTTCCCTTAAGCTAACTCTAAATGTTAAGATTTCAATTGTATTGCAGACCTCCTGACTTTTTGGTCTTCATTCTGAAGTCAGCATGGGCTGAGGACTGTGGAATCCCAAAAACGTACACACACACTCCTGGAGTTGACAATCAGAGGCTCACCTTGGGCTGCAGACTTCACCGGAATTTAATCTATTTATTGACCCACAATCAATGTAAAACAGCTTAAATCAAAATTGTTTAAAAAAATAAAAATAAAAATAAAAAAAACAACTAAGAAAACTTAAAGAACTCAACGTGTAAAACGATTACTTTATAGAAAATTGGTTAAAACATTTACAGTCGCAAACAGCCGGGCATACTAGGCTAATGTTATTTTAGTAATTCATTACAAGAAATGCCAGAAGAGCATAAGTAATCTCTTTGTTTACTTTTTTGTAAACAGTACATTCACAACAACGGGTAAAATATGCAATTTTAAGTCATTTTTTATATAGGCCTACATATGTCTTTGTAAGGAATCTTGAGATCCCACTCCGGGAATCTCAGGCACACAGACTACAAAGGTATTCAAAATCATTTTCTTGTTAATGTGTTGAAACACATTGAAGAAAATGTCTGTAATGACCTCAAAACATAAAAAAATAATTAGGTTTTTTTTTGTTCCTTTCATATATTTTTTTAAGAGGTGCAGGTTTATCATTATTATTTAAACTGAAGAGATTATCAAGAGGTGGCCCTCATTTAAAATGACATCAAGTCATTACAAAAAACAACCAAAAACAAAAAGATAGAGACAGAGAAAAGACGGTAGCAGAATCAGCTTGATAAATAGGCCTATGGGCCTACTGTACTTAAAAGATGTTCTATCTGGCATGCAGTTGATTTGAATATGATTTACACAATTGATAAATAGGCCTGTACAGTTTTTTCAAAAGTACCAAAATCATTTAAAAGGAAGGTAAAATAAATATAAACAGTGTCCACTGTCCAAAACAGTAAGGCCTAGGAGGTAGGAAGGTTGAAAAAATGTGTTTTCCAAACCGTTCAGTTGTAAAAAAATGAATCAAAGGAGCTGGACACTGCTCCATACGGCAGGTAGGTTATATATTTAGGCTACGTCACAGCCTCAAAGTTAATATAATGTATTCAGAAACATTTAAACATGGCGTCATAACAGCGTACTGCTGCCCCCGAGACTCTTGTCTCTGCTGACAGTTTGCGGCCGCGCGCTGCCATTACACCGCAGGCACACAGTAAACAACACGACGTCACTTCCGCTTCGAGGTTGACAGCAAAACAACTAAAGCTGGAGCGATAAAAATATCCGCCAAGAAGCAATTATAAACGCTACTTTAATAGGATGAAGGTAGGGGGGTCTTCTGTTTTAGATATCCGTGCAGGTGTATTCTAGGTATCGTTTTATACCTGTGTGTGCATGAATGTGTGTGCGCGCGCTCGTCTGTAGGCGATGTGGTGGGCCAGATCGAGCTGCCGTTATCTTACCTGCAGATGAACAATCACCTCCTGTTAACATTACTGTAACAATATGTCTCTTTCGTGTATTATCGTGACTCAGATTAAGTGTGAGAATGAAACGGAATTCAAGAATTCAAAATGGTGACAAACTGCGTCGGTAATATCAGATGAAGGTTTGTCATCTTGTGTGATAATGAAATTATAACAACACAGTCGATGAGTTGATAACATGTTTCCCTGAGAATCTTTAAGCATTTTGACGATATTATGACTGCCTTTGCTAGGTTGTACTCATATTCGCATTTATTTTTTAAGGGGAAATAAAGTGATTTTAATAGTGCTAACATGACAGCCCTTTTTAGCACAATGTAAAAAAAAACACATTTACGTCGGCCTTTCCCCCCATATGATCAGATGGCATGGGACAGAAAGCTCTCTGTTTTTGATGTTACTCAAACTAAGTGTATTGTTAACAAAAATTCAAACTCTTGCTACCTACAGCAAATGATGCAATATCATCATGACATCTAAATATTTCTCTATGGATAACCTACAAGCATTAGTCTATAGCCCCCTTATTTGCTGCACCAAAACAATAACTTATCGACTTGCACAGTAGCCTTCTGTTAAAGGTAGAGATCATCGCTGCCACCATGATTGCGTTATTATGGCTGCCACTGTTAATTATCATGTAGCAATAGCAAAAGTGTAGTGTTAGCAGAGAGCGCTCAGACAGAATCAGTGTTTCTCTGATGCTTGCTGACGCAGCACATCTGGAGAGGCTGCCAGCTGAGCTGTCACTAACACTGACTTAGCTTATATCTCAACACCAAACTTAATTCAATGAGACTTCATCAAACCTATACCTACAGATATTAAACAGAACAGTTGACAGTTTTGGTAAAGCAATGATAAATCACAATTTATTTGTGCTTCTACCACACAATACTTATCATGGAACAGGCCTGTTCAGAAGTACATTTCCCCACTTAAGCATTTTGTCAAAGGAAGAAAGAAGCTTTTTTGAATTTAGATGGTATTATCATCACATCATGTTATTAGTCATAGTCAGAGATCTTCACACACTTTGCTTTCTTTGGATAGGTCCTTTAAGAGCGCTGCTTTTCTATGCACGCTGTAATATTGTCTGTCTGTGCTGTCTTTCAGGAGATGACTTCACAGCAGGATTTAGAGGAGGAGAGCAGCTCACCTTCTGTTGACAACCATTACATCTGTGACGACAGAGAAGAAGAGGAAGGTCCTCCTGACCTCCAAGAGGACCATCCGCATGGTGAGAAACCTGACAGGGTTCTACTCTGTGCATAGTTTGTTTTTTGAAAATGTCACAAATTGGTATCAGGTGTCAATATGTCCGATACCTGACATATTATTACTGTAGAAGAAATGTGCTTTCAGAGGATGACGGAGAGTATATTAACTTTTATGAAAAGGACAATAGTATGTACTTCTGCATGCTGCAGCCTGTGTTGCTGGTTTCTAATTGGTTAGGCTGTTCAAGTCAACAGCCTTCTGGATCATGTCTTACTTTGCTCAGGCTTTTGGGGCTTGTTTGATGACCACTTTCAAGAACTCTTTAGTCGTATATATAATTTGAGAGCAGTTTCACTTCACCTCTGTGACCTAAGAAATTCCAAACATTGGTGTGCCAGTTCATGATGCACATGTAGCTGTGCCTAAAACCTGACCCTACCATACAGTAACTTTATTTCCACTTTAAAGGAGAGAACTGTAGAGGAAGAAAACAAGCAAGATTGACAGTAGTAGTTCGTGTCAAAGTTTAAGAGTTATTACAGTTTGAAAGTGGCTGCTCTGCTTTGTTAGCTGCTAAGTCACACAAGCAAAATGCTCATTTATGAGCCAAGAAGTTCATCTACAGTTTGGTGAAATTGTATAACTTTGACTGTGTATGAGAAGAGGACATTTTAACTATGAAACAAGTTTTTGGACAACAATGATGAAGCCTCCAGTTTAGCATTATACAGTAGCTGTCGCCATCTTGTTTTTTTAGTAGGCAGAATTTATCATATTTGGACAAAGGGATGGAGCGAGGTCAAGTGAGGCTTTAGCAAACGCAAAGTTACTTAGTCATGCTAATGCCTCAGAACGAGATTCTATTTGTGATTAAAGCTTTTTTTTTTTTTTGACAAAAGAAGCTAATGCTGGGGCTGCAGTAGCTCAGTCTGCAGGGAGTTATGTTGGGACTGGAGGGTCACCGGTTTAAGTCCCAGTGTGGACCAAGTTGGAAATCGGTCTGGTAGCTGGAGAGGTGCCAGTTCACTACCCTTGTGCAAGGCACCAACCCCCCCCCCCCACACACACACACACACACACACACACACTACCATCCCCAGAGCGCTTGCTGTGGGCAGCCTCCTCACGCTGACATCTCTCCATTAGTTCATGTCCATTGGATCCTGTTTGTGCATGTGTGTGTATTCCAGCCTGTGTGTGAAGCATTACTGAGTGTAAAACTGAATTTCCCCTTGAGGGATCCGGGTATGATGAGCTCAGAAACTAAAACCTGCATATTTGTGCTAATAGTTAAGTCGAGTACACGAGAAATTCCCTCACTCAAAGCACAGTACTGTCCAATGCTTTAAGCAATGTTCTTTGAAGGTCCTTGAAGAAATGACTGAACAGATATGTCATGTTTTCCTTCTCTGAGTGAGGTTTAAGCTACTGCTTCTGTCTCTGCATTTCTCAGACACAGATAAAGATCACCCCATCCCAGAAGGAGGAGTCATGTGGAGAGTGGGCGGCGGCCTATTCAGCATGACACGGAACGTCGTCGGTGCAACCCTTGGGGGTGTTGCGTGGGTAGGAACAAAAAGTTTTGAGCTCACCAAGACAGCTGTTATCAGTGTGCCGGCAGCCAGCGCAGGTCTGGTCAAAGGAAGCGTCTCCATGGTAACAGGAGGTGTTGGAGCTGTAGGATCCGCGGTGGCGAGTAAAGTCACACCAAGGAAGAAGGACAAAGCTGACTGATGGACAGTGGGTGTGTGTGTGTTTGTGTGGTTGTGTGTATGATGCAAACAAGAGCAAAATCTCTAAAGCTCCGAATGGATTTTCATCACAGCTCTCCAGATCAAAGCAGCGTATTCTTTCATGCAGCAACAAAGATACAAAAGCAGCGAGATGTCAGTCAATGTCAATGGAAATCTTCCTCTGAAGGGGGCATGGCTGACAATGATGAAAATTCACTCAAGAATGCAACTGTGCGGAGTGGGGAAATATAATGTTTTATTTTATTTTGTTTTTTAATCCTGAATGAGCTAGCAGACAGTGGCAGTAATTCATTGTGTCATATGTAGCATATTTTAAAGACAATTAACAAAAACTTTTATAAAATGAACACAATTTGACGAGGACATGATACTGTGCTCTTATATAATGGTAAATAGAGAGGAGACATGTTCCCCGACACATCATTGAGGACTTTGTCATTGAATTTCAGGACTCATCAGTGAACATTTTGGATTTATTCATGGCTGCTTATTCTTTACGTGTGCGTTAGCTCTAAACAAACCTTAAGAGTACCAAAAAGTCACACAAAATAACACAAATAAATTAACCCAACGAGACAGAGGTAAACCAGCAACTCCTGTTTTTCAGGCTACAACGACTGTTTTTGTCATGGGAGTCTGGTTGCTTGTAAGGCAGTAATGTGACAGATTAGAGGTGGGCGATATGGGAAAAATATCATATCACGATTTTCTTTTGGCAAAATCATGATCACGATTTTATCACAATTTTTTTCATACAGTTCTTTAGACAGATTTGTAAGTTACTGACCAGTTCAACCAAACTTATTTCCCTGTATAATGTTTTTAAATGCACAAAAACTGTGCTGACAAGTTTAGTCTATTTGAAAAACATCTTTGTAGGAGGTCTGGAGGCCTCTCACCCAGAACATCTTTAGCAACAGAAATGTCATTCCCTCAATTTGATCAATATGTACAATTTGAAGGTTTTCCTCACCACTTTTAATTATGATTTAGTTATGTGTCCTCTTTTTATGTTCATCAGGAACATTTTCACGCAGTGATGCATTCATTTAAAAACAAGTAGACTTCAAGTTCTTGTGGTTCTGTTCTATTTAGCTCTGCAGAATTCCTACAGCTGTAGCTTCATACAGGCTCTGCAGCCTTTCTTTATAGGCTTTGTTGTTTTTATGACATCATTTAGTTTAGTTTATATATAATCAAACAAAATACAGAATGTGTTCATTCTGTGACACATGATCAAAGTAAGTTTTACTGACGGAAGAATTTAATTCATAGAGGGGGCGGGACATTGTTGATTGACAGACAGTCAGTCACCATGGTTACTCACTCTCACCTGCCTGCTGCTTTGTAACGTCGTTTAGCCTAATCCCTGTAGGTTCCGGGGTTATATCTCTCATCACTGACTGTCTGAGCTACGTCCTGTCTGTCTCTCAGCAGACTGTTCACGTCTCTCCGGCTCGTTAAAAAGTTTCTTGTGTCGCTATCTGAGATGTAGGCTAATCTTAACTGTGCACACTATTCAGATAAGTTAAGTGTTGCTCACAGCGTGTAGGAACATAAACTGCAGCATGATAGAATAAACACATAAGCCCGGTTCTATGATCTCTCTGCTTTGGCAGATCGTCAGCATTTTAAAATCCGCCCACCACTATGACAGATGTTTCAGTTTAAAGAGAAACATCTTTCTGTAATGTTGTCAGGCACTTCAAATTAAATACTGAGCAGGTCAGCAGCACTGTATGTGAGCAATTCAAAACATAAAGTCCTTTGTATACCCAGGATTAAAAAACAGTTAGGGTTCCACTTAAAAATAATCCAACATTGTTATTGTAACTCGGATAAAATGTGTCCCTCAGAAAAGTAGGTGTCGAGGACATTGTGTCTTTAAAAAAATTAAGACACAAAGAGTGAGAAATGAACGCTTTATCTTTTTTAAAATTGAATTAATCATGTGCTATTTTGTCCCTTTTGGCGCATTGTACTGTAGCTAAGCCACTGCACTGACTGTAGCATCTCCCTGTAGTCCCAGTGAGGGAAAAGAACGACACCTGTGCCCCTTTGAATGTCTCATTTCACTTAAAAAAAAAAACTCCAGAACAAGTCAAAAATATGATCCAACTTGTGACATCACACATTTGTGTGTGAGACCAACCCGTAACAAGTTCCTGTGTCCATGAATAAGTTAAAGCTGTAACCTTTGATTTATCAGAAGTTCCTATTTTTATTTCAAATACAAGAAGGTTTGTATCCAACAGGAAGTAAAGCGCCCTTAGCTAAAGAGTGTACAAATCTACAAAATAAAAGCAGTTTTGAACTCCACAATAATGGAATTTCAAACATGCAATCAAAAATTTAATCGCAATGCTACTGAAAATCAGCAATTTATTGTGATTCTAAAAATTAATTCCTAATTAAAATATAAGCAAATGGTTTTTTTACTGTCTGACGTAAGTAACACTAATTGACTATAAAGAAACAACATCACTCCTCCAGCCCCTTTACATGTTGATAAGTCACAAATGAAACCACTATGACATCATTTTGTTGTATGGGAGATGTAAAATGGGATGAGGAATAACAGATTTTACAAGCAGGGTGCTCTTTGAGTTGAGAAATCAAATCAACAGAAATAGAGAACAGGGTTTGAATATGACCATCAGCAGAAAGTTTGTTAAAACAGATAAGCAATAAATAGAGTTAAACTATTTTAAATCTATATTTTAGGTCACATGTTGACATTAAAACAATGTGATACGCCACCCTATAAAACCCAACAATGTACCAGTGATATCTAGGTTTAGTTATGTACATAAATGTTAATTCATTTAAAGGCAGGGTTGGTCATTTTTGAAAACTAGCATGATTTTGAAAGTAGCATTCCCTCAGTGCTCCGTCTACACCCACCCCCTCCACTCTGTGCTCCCTCAAAGGCCACGCCCCTCACTTACATGCATGAGCTTCGTTTCTCCAGAAGTTGACCTCAGCTCATCACTTGCATTGTGGTGAAACTACGACGTCTCATTTCTCATTCAACGATAAGTTACACTCACAGTATACAGTCCGTCATCGGGTTTGAGTGTGAGCTATAGTGCACACAAAGGGTAGAGAACCAACAGGGACACAGCGAGGCGTGATTGGTTCATCAAATTGGTACCTCGTGGCAGACATTGGTCGACGTTTTTACAGGCTTATAACTGCTACAGATGATGGATTTTCTTAGTTTCTTTTTCAGAGAAGATTAATTGTTGATTTCTGTCAGGACCTAAAGATAATATCAACCAAAATCTTAAAAAGTATATCTGGAGAAAATGACCAACCCTGCCTTTAAGCAACTGTTTGTGCTTCGGAAAAAAAACCTGTCCACTGCTGATGTATGTGCCATAGGAAGTACTGTAGGTAGCCACTGTCATGTCCCCAAATGGTTTATTGATTACCATTATCTTTCTTATCTTATTCTATCTTGGATCTTTGGATCCAAGAGTGATCACATTTGGATCATGGTTTAAAATAGCTATGCCTCTAACCCTGTTGAAAAGTGTTGTTGGGTTATTGGTAGCTACATTTCGACAATACCCATAGCATAACCTTCCCTGTTGTCTGTTTTACTTTAGGTGGTATAAATCCTAAAATGAATATCATGCTGTTTTGAAGATGATTTAAAACCTAGTTTAAGAACTTAAACTCATTAGAAACATGTTGACTGAAATAGAAAAATAAAAAGTAATCAATCAAGTGAAAAATAGGCTCTTTTTCTCATAGACTTTTGTTCAATCAGACATCTCTTTGCAACCGATGGAGTCTCGCCCTGCAGGACATGAGAGAGAGTACACTTCTGTAGTAGCCTCACGTTTGAAACCGAAAGGCTTTGTCCACTGCATATACTCAACAGTGTTTGGTTCATGAATGTAAAACCCAAAGCTATGGCTCTGAACCGCTCTGAAGCACGAAATGAAGCAGTTTACTCTTTAACTGGAACAATGCAGATGGTAGTTATCACTTTGAGCGATATCAGTGATGAATTAGTGAATCCTAGATTGGGATTTTTTTTGTGTTACAGTCTAATGCTGATTATCTGCAAAATATAGTGTATTAAGGATGGACAATAAGTAAAGTAAACTTGTATTTTTAGGAAGTACGTTGGAGTTGCTATTTATTCTGTTTTTGTTTGACAATTTGTGCCATCGCATTTGTAAATCATAATGACTATTTGTCTAAGTTGTGTATGTATCTAAAAGGGCGAGTGAAAAAGTATTCTGTGATAAGACACACTGCATGCCACAAATGTTATATTGCTTTCAAACTTCTAAATGCAAAGTGAACTTTACATTCGTGTGTGCTTGCTGAAGATGGAGCTGAAGATGGAGTCTCTTTAATCCATTTGGCTCACTTGCACATTTACATTTGTTTTTTTTAATAATTTTGAGACTGCTGACTTTACTGCTGTTGTTTAGATGGTGAATTTCCACACATTCAGTGACACAATTGGTGGTCTGGCCAAATAGAAATGATATTGGTGATTTTGCTTAATGGTTTGTATCCAATGTCCGACAAAATAGAAACAGTATATATTTAAAAATTTCAATGATAAAATGTAACAGGCAAGAATAAGTATGTGTTGAGACCAAAGCAAAGCTAATTTCCGTGCAGCACTATCCTTGTTGAAGGAAATGCATAGAAACCGTTTCCTGTTGGGCGGCCCAAATAAAGCCAATTATGTACATATCCTAACCACTGGTACTTTGCATAATGTTGCCAAGCGCTGTGGTCATAGTGGATTCATGTTCTCTGTAAATAACATAATTAAGAGTATGGTCTAGACCTGCTCTTTTTTGTAAAGTGTCTTGAGAGAATATTTGTTATGAATTGGCACTCTACAAATAAAGATTGAATGATTGAATTTGTAATTGACCCAGACAGAATGAGTTGATTTTTCTGAGAATCTGGAAAGGTGATTATTCCAATTATATTCCAATGTTTAACCACTGCAATTAAAGGGTAATACTTTATTGATCCCCAGAGGGGAAATTCGGGAACACTGATGTTCTCATGGTATAACCAGAATGATTAATGCACTGTGAAAATTCTTTTTGCTTTTGGTCTGATCACTGCTTAAGACTGTCTGTGTTGGACCTTGAGTCAAAATCTGTTTCCACTGAGATCTGGATCAAAACAGAAGCTTTCTCTTTTGAGGAAATTTCCCTTATAAATAGTACCAGGATGTAAAAATCTTTTATCAGAAGTTACCAACCTCTATAGTTTTACTTCTAGATCTACAAGTTAATTCAATTTTGAATTGATCTTTCTCAGCTAAATACTTCACCTTGATACTGATGTTGCTCTTTGTCTGTGTGTTTGTTCATGCAGCCACAAAATTATGATAAGCTTAAAAATGTCAAAGCTATATTTATAAGGACTCTGTTTTGGACTGTCTCTGCCCCCTGTATGTCTTTGATTTCACAGGAAGTAGAAAGACATAACACCGCAGCAAAATGCTCTGTCAGACCTAAAAAAAAACGTCTGTTGATTTTTAGCATAATATGCAGCTGACATTCCTGTCCCTGGTAATGTGATGGATTGACGACCAAACTCTGTTTGCATTTGTGCGAATTTTGTAAATGGAATGTTTAAATGAACCCGACATTTTTTATAAGAAAATAAAATCATTCTACATTTGCTGCATGCCTCAGAACTGTTTTTTCTTTCCCCTTTCTCTCTTTATATTTCTCAATATGTTTTTAAATGTTTAAACCTAAAGACTATTGGAATTATTGTATTAGACTAAATAAAAAAAGCAGTGTTTTTTGTAATGAAAATATACGGAAATCTATAAACTGTGGTTGAAATCGATTTTTTTTAAAACTTTAAATCATTCATAAAGCTTAATAACAATTCTTATAAGTGATTTTATTTTATTATCGCATAATGTTTATGGCGTGTTATAAGCAGTGAAAGTAATGCATGATGAAGGTACAGTTTATAATACCTTAATGCAAAGCCTACTACAGGGTCTTTTGAATTCTGGGTCTGATAACACATTACAACTTCCACAATTCTATCCAGTTCTAAAGGTTTATAAAGATCTGATTCAATGTATTATAAGGTCAAAACTAATATGATTTTCAAATGGAAGAATGTCTTATATATACATTTTATAAAGCCATATACATGTATTTATAAGGCTGCATTAATCTGCTAATGATGCATTATGAAAAGTGGGTTCATATCGTGTGACCATAATTGCATTTGGGGTTTATTCATCTCTGACATCCATAACTTTCAACGGACTGAGCAGCATTATACTCCATGTTAACCTGGTTGGAATAGCAATAAAACGATTTGGACTAAAACAGCCACTATGAAAACCTCCATATTTGTGGAAAAAGCTCAGCTGAACATGGTGAAACAGCTGTAACACTAAACGACATTCAATAAGTAGTTAGATTAAAACAGGTGGGTTAATAATGACCGGGGAGAGAAGTTAAAAGCAAGAAATACCCAGATCATCCTTCATAGTTTGTTACAGAAAGAAACAGGTTGAGACAATGACACACACACTCCTAATGTTTTATTGATCAACACTTATTTACACTGAACACCTGCATCAGTGACGTTGAAATGTAAGCATGGTCCTAACCAGTAACTCCCCAGTCCACCACAGCAATCATACACCTCTTCTGTCTGAGGGGGGAAAAAACACTCAAAACTTGTGCAAGATGGGAGAAATGTTGGTTAACAGAACAGACAGTCACATTCAGGTTAGGATGACCTGTTGTGAAGTTATGGTTCAGACTGTCTACACATCCATTTGTAACCAACTAAATATCTCTCCAGACAGTCTCAACCAGCCTCAGAGTTAATCCTCTGATTGTTGGTATGTAGATATATGTATGTAAATACTCTGTTTTTTTTCTGCATGGAAGTGAAATTTATTTAAAGTAAGGGCCAACTTCTGTTTAAATATGTTCAGACTAGTTATTAGCTGTGTACATGGATGAGATTTACTCACCAACTGACGTTATTCTTTAACAATGAAATCATATTTGTATTGTAGGCCTGAGGATTTACCACCTTGAAACTCCCTGTTATAAAACAAAGTGTATAGAACCTAGAAACCTTTCCTGCTTCACAATCTATCGCTCCATCTTGTTTTATTCACATCATGGACATTTCTCTTTTTAACCAAGAAACATTTGTTAAAGCATTTTATGTTGCTTTATTGTCAAAAATGAAACATCCAAATGGTGGTTAATCAGGAAATGAAGATCAGTTCAGACGGTGAATTAAGAGACGACATTAAAGAAAACAGAAAAGAATCTGACAATGACTTGTTTTAATTGGATCACGTTCATTTTCCTGCTATGATGAGACATGGTGAAAGTATCACATAGTCATGAATTCATGTTCTATAAGAATGTGAACATCATGTTTTTACATTTAAATTGTCTGCATGTTGTTTTCACATGATTTTGAATCTGGATAAAAACAGATTCATAAATAAAATATATTAATATCCACCTTCACATTGTGTTACTAAAGTAAAACATTCTTAAATTGAAAATATATAAGATGGTTAGGTTTATTTGAATTTATGCATGAAAATAATCTGCAACTTGTCTGGTCCTGACACTACCTGGTTATTGTACATATGTCACAGTTTAGTCACACTTTTTATCAATGGTTACATGGTGTGGAAAGGCTGATCAGGGATCTGTTGAACCCCATCAGCGAAAACTGTACATAAAAAGTTGTGCAGCTGCACAAGTATTAGCGGTAATCATAATTGGAAAATGTCTTAATTTGCCAATTAGGATTACGGATTAGAAGCGTTTAAAAAAAAAAAAAACAGAAAACACCTTTTCATGGCTCTCTTAAAAAAACACACTCCATTAACAATATTGTCAATTGTATATGCCAAAAGCATTAGTTGCTGGTCTAACTCTGCGATCAAATAGTTTGTTTCTGTGCTAAAGAATGACTTTACCAAAATGAGAATGAGTTCACCATAACACAACATCACCAATAAACTCACTAGTCAAGGAATTGGTAGATCACAAACTCCTGTGATCTGCCAAAACTAACGTTTTAGTCACTGACTTCTGGTAGCCTTAAAAGCGGTCAGGTTCATCTGGGTACAGTTTGGTACGGTAAACCCTGATCTTGCTTGCGTTTCCACAGACAACCGTACCCTTACACATCACTAAATCACAGCGGCATGACATAATGTAGACAGCCAATAAATTAAACAAAGAAGAACGTGACACAGTAAACAAAGATCAATGATTCTTAAGAAGGTCTGCATCTCAGAGGTTGTCCATAGGGCAGTGCTACGCGCTGACAATAGTCACAAAAAACAAAAACAGCCTTGAAATTACTCTCTCCAAATCCACAGGATATTTAAACATGATGCGTTTTGTGTTTGTCCTTTCTTACCACTGTAGCACAGGAAGTTACGATTCTTTTGACCAATCAGCAGACTGCAGTGTGTCAAGCTCCAACCTTTAGTGTCGGATCGGTACGCTTGGCACCTCAACAGGGTACCAAAGAAGTAGAAGGGTATGGATTAGTTATCTTGGTACCATCCCCAATGTTTGACAGTAAAAGCACAGACAAATGTGTCACTTACCGAAAGCAGCTAAACTGGACTGCTTGGTGGAAACGGGACTTAAGGTTGATGTGTAACAGCTGTAACTGCATCTTACAGTAATTAATGACAAAAAGATAAATATCTGTTTTGATCATTGCTGTCATGGTGGAAAACCCATAGAACCGAATGTGAGCTTGTTATTGGCAAAAAAAGGAAATTTTATTCAGTGTACTTACAGTTTTTCTCAGTCGCTTTGGTACATTTCTCAGATCAGAATTGAAATTCTCAAAACTACTTGTTCAATCTTCACATCATTGTGTCACTTGTGCACATCAAAAAAGCAGTTTCTCATTTCTTTGAACAAGTTGCAAATGCTTTGGTATATCCATTCAAATTATTGTGTACAATTCTCTGCTGTTTCCTACATTATCAATTGCTTATGTCATGTTGATCAAAATGTATTATAATGGGTCTCTGTTGAATAGTCTCACCCCCCACAACATTTAGGCATTGGTTCATCGCATAAGTCTTTACATGCAAAATGGTTGAACAAGTTGTCATAATATGTCAAGCATATTTCTATAGACATTAGACTTTTTTTCTAAATCTGTCCTGAATTGGTAAATAGCTCCCAGGTGAATCTTGACTTTCTCTAATGAAGGGAAATGTGTGAAGCATTAGATCAACCAATGATCAACCAGTTTTCTGAAATAGCTCAAAGGTGCATCTCATGAACCATCAATTGGCAAGTACATATATAGCCGGAGCACAACACAATGTTACAATGTCTGACAATGGAAGGACAAGGAATTGGACGGGGTCAACAGCCAGAGAGAAGAAGTAGAGGAAGAGGAGTGAGGCTGCGTGGCAAAGGAGCTGGGAGGCAAAACAGAGGAAAAGGCAGAAGAGCCCGAGGACATATGCGCGTTCCTGATGAGATAAGAGCCACACTTGTAGACCACGTTCTCAATCATGGGCTTACAATGGCCGAGGCTGGTCGAAGGGTGCAGCCAAATGTTGGGAGAACAACTGGAAATACTGGAAAGTATATGATCACCAGCGTCAACGTCAGGAGGTGTAGGAAGACTGCACTGTAATTCCAAAGCACTGCATGTACAGTTTTTCCTCAGGAGATTGTCCTATGGTCACATTTCTACTTTTGTTTTTTTGTTTTTTTTCTTTGTGCTATGCAGTGCTGTCTTTTCCTTTCTGTATCACAATGACATGGTCTGTCAAAAAATTACAGTACAAACAGTAAAAGCGTAAATGTGAATCTTGTCCAGTCTCTTGCAATCAATCTCCCACATACACTAAGGTGTAACTTACAATTTACAATAATTGTTATCAGAACTTTAGCCATAGTTTATATCAGAACACCCCTCCAGAGTACACTGTTATATTGACAACGTAACTAAGCAATTTGACTGTCTTATCCGTACACAATGACACAAGGACTTGTCATTCTGATGGCACTGACATGTTCATTGACACAGATATTTACTTTTGAGAGATGAACTCAGGATTTTGAGCAAGAGACTGGCTTTTGCAGGTAATCCATGGTGTTTTGCTATTTGTACGAATTGTTTTGAGAAATGCACTTACTGTTTTGCAAATGTCGAGGATGATTCGAGAAATGTACCAAAGCGACAGAGAAAAACTGTAAATGCCTTTACATTACAGGCTGTTTTTCCAAAGCTGGTTGGAGAGATCTACTCAAGCTATTCAAAAACATTTAGTACTTTACATGTTCACCTTGACCCCAAAATGTGAAACCCAAGGTTTTATAAAACCAGAATCCTCCTGTAGTGATAAATTGATTTAAGTCAGCGACCTTGTGATTGTACCGCATGTATTGCTGCTATATAGATTATATATAGAGTTTAGACTTTAGAGTCCACATGGGGAAATTCATTTTCATAGCACTGTCCAACTGAGAATACCCACCATTATGTAAAAATATACATTTGAAAAATGGCTGTAACCTACATAGTTGATTAGTCATGGGTCAGGGAAGTTATGTAGATGGATAGATTGATGGAGGGATAGATAGATAGATAGATAGATAGATAGATGTGATAACTGCTGCAAAGTGAAATAATTCTGGATTCTTTTATAGAACTTTAAGTTTTAAACAGATAGACGGATGGTCACAGCTCTTTTTCCAGCACAGACATGGTGAGAAAAACAAGATCGGTCAGTAAGACAGCTTCCATCATGTAATGTGCTTCATAAACTATAGTACTGCTTTGACAGATAGTTTCCTAAAGCCTGTATAGGATAGATGTAAATCATCAGTTGTTTAAAGAAATGGGAGGAACGTCCTGTCCTCCACCAAGGACCGTGAGACATTTCTCAGTTCTCTGGGGTGGAAAACTCTCTTGTATCCGAGGAGCTCAAGCAGAGGTTTGCAGGCAGTCTGGGTGTAAACGACCATGTCAAAGGACAGCTTCACCCTCCAGTTCTCTGCATTAGCAGCAGAGTCCCGAACTGTGGTGAACTTCTGCCGTGACGACAGATCACTAGTACCCCGAGTGTTGTTGATGATCCAGTCCTCTACACTGTGGTCCAGATCAAGACCCAGGAAAGCGTAAAGCTCTCGGGCCTTCTGGAGAGGAAACCTGGCCAGGTCTTCATACCTGACCCAAGGATAGGGAGGGGAGAAAGGAACATTCAGCGAAAAAGGAACAAATATCTGATCTGATCATCTATTATTCCTGTTTCTCAAGGTTTAGTAAACTGCTGAAAAAGAAAGTTGCTTTTAAAATGTAATCTCGATATTGCCATGGGTAACTGTGGTTAAGTCCCTGCCTTCTGTATGATGGTCAGCTTTGTCACAAACCATTCAGATAGCCAATAGACCCCAGGAGAGCCCATCTCAGAGAATCACCTTTTTGGTTTAGAAAAACTGACCTTTAATAGTCTACTCTCTTTTGTTCACCTAAGAAAAATACTTTCATTCTGATCCCTGCTTCTGAGCTGGAGGGTCCAATAATGCAGACCCCACTTTGTATTTTCATGAGCTCTAACTTCTCACAGGCTTTATCACCTAGTAGTGAGTTCATCAACTGGCGGAGTAAGATATGAACATTTATTTTTTTCAGCTTGCATGTACCTCAACAGTTGATTTTGAGTCCATTTGAGATAAAATGTACGACATTGTCCCAAAGGGGTAATTTGAAGTGGGCAGTGGTCCTATTTACATCTGCATTCATTTGATGAAATACATAAAGGAAGGAGAGCCTGATCATGGGCCAGGACAACAAACCACATACAACAAAGATACAATAAGATGCATCTTATCCCATCTCCCCCTATCCCAATGTTCAAGCCGGGGCAGTTTCTGCAGATGACTGTTCATCTGGTTTTGCCCAAGATTTCTGCCTCTTAAAAGGACGTTTTTTCTTGCCACTGTAACTTTTCTAAATTATGCTAAGTGCTCATTCAATTTGGGTCTTTGTAATATAGCAATGAGTAAGGCCTTTTTCCTGCTTTTCTCAAGATAGTCTCAAGATAACATTTGTGATGGATAGGCGCTATACAAATACAAATTGATTGATGTGAAAATATATACACTCTAAACGCAGGAAATTTGACAAAACTACATGTGCTCGGGGTAAACAACGTATACTTTGAAGATGGAAACATGGGTCAGCTATGCCCAATGTGTCATTTTTTTAAGTTGTCACAAGCCGCAGTGCTTGCAGTTGACCATGCTGTATCGTGTACATCACTCTTTGTGACTTTGCCTGCTACCATTTTGCTGAATCCTCAAATTGAGTCCCTTCAGTGTGGCACAATTTAATCACTTTGCTTTTAGCTTTCAGTCAATCAAATATTATCAAATGGATTTCACTGCTTCAGCATTTCAGAATGGGAAATACAAAGTTGTAATGAGCTTCAATGTTATTCAGCACTTTATCCAATTTCTTCTTCTTGTCTTGATTTTTGTCCTGTACACTTTTGTAGTTTGTGGGCCACCTATATTAATTCATTACCTGATTTGTCTTTCTTTAGAGTATAATGGCTGCAATTAGAAATGATGCTTAAAAGTGTACTGATTCCTGACCATCACTTTCACTTTCACTCCCAAAGTCACCTTTCTAACTATGGTCTCCATCCTGGTTAAGAGTTTTGTAAAGAAAAGTGACTTCAATCACCTAATTTTAACACTATTCATCAGAAAACCGTTTCATTTCTAATATGATCCCTGTAGATCTCACCTGAGCAGCATGTACCTCCCTCTGAGCCAGGCAGGTCTGGACAGCAGCCCCGTGGACACGGACCGGAGGAAGTCCTCACACACTGTGTTGATCTGTCCCAGGTCCAGGTTGTGGGGACGCCGTCCGGTCGCTCTCCACAGACGCCACAGGCGGTAAGTGTCTCGAAATGTCTCGATACGGGATGCCAGGATGCCGCGTGGATCTCGAACAAGCTGGACAACCTGATGTTGACCCCGCCAGAGTAGGAAACATATTCGCAGGGAATAGACACTGTTTTAAAAGGTCAGTAACAGTGCAGATGTCACCAACAGTCTTAATACACCTCCATATGTGTAAAGAATTCTGGCTTGTCTTCCAGAAAAAAAACAGTACTGTGGTAGAAAGATGTCAAAGGTGATAACAGCAGTGATACCTTTAGCAGTATGATGGTCTGTTCAGACTTAATGTGAAGAATATTTATTACAAGACTACCGTATTTTCCGCACTATAAGGCGCACCGGATTATAAGGCGCACCTTCAATGAATGGCCTATTTTAGAACTGTTTTCATATATAGGGCGCACCGGATTATAAGGCGCATAGAATAGAACGTGTTTCCAACTGAACAAGGCTGGGAGATATTGTGAATATATAAATATAAATACGTATAAAACTATGTTTTATACGTAGTGCATTCACAATAACTCAACGTTGTTCAAACGTTAATGTGCATATTCACAATATCTCCCAGCCTTGTTCAGTTGTAAACACGTAAAAGAAACACAGTCTGATACCACTAATTCAAACGTTAGTGCATAACTCAACATTGTTCAGTTACGTATAACACGTAAAGCTCACTTTTTCAGTTCATTCCCCGTCCACGAATCCCTCGAATTCTTCTTCTTCAGTGTCCGAATTGAACAGCTGGGCGAGTACGGCATCCAAAATGCCCAGCTCCCTCTCGTCATTATCCGAGTCAGTGTCGCTGAGCGCCGTGTACAACCAGTATGGATCAACCAATTAACCAATTGATCCATATATAAGGCGCTCCAGATTATAAGGCGCACTGTCGTTTTTTGAGAAAATTAAAGGCTTTTAAGTGCGCCTTATAGTGCGGAAAATACAGTACATACAAAGCTAATGAAATAACATGAATAAACACAGCTATGCATCACTCAGACCTTGAGTCAGAGGTCAGAAAATCCAGAAGTCACATTCACACCCATTAAAATGTCTGTTTTCACAGCAGAGATAAACATGTTTAGAGCCTGGTTCAAAGAAATTGGTCTGAACAGCTTATGTCTTTATTGGCACAAATTGTACAGGTGGTGAATTTTATGATAACTCACCATTTTGGATTCATGAAGAATAAGAGTTATTGATAATACGCCGCTTGGCTAGCCTAACTGATGGGCGTGTACTCCAGCTCTTTGCCAGGTGAATTTTTTCGCTTGGACTTCACATGGAGTTTTTCCTGCCAGACCGCTAGTATTTTTTCCGCCGAAAGTCTGATCGAGCTGATATGAAAAGGAGTATTCACCTCGAGCCAATAGGAGAGGTTAGTGACTTATACAGTATACTGTGAATCCTACACGGTTCATAGAATGTATACACTACGATCTCGGTGCATGCAATTTAACGGTTGCATTATGTTTTCTGTTCGTCAGTATGTTGTTCTCCGCTCTTTTGTTGATGTTGTCATTCAACTGGACTACACATAGCATTGATATAAAGGCAAATATGCTTATAATGTCGTGTAGTGGACTCTGTTGCTTCGTCCCACTACTTCCACGTTGTTTATTTACGTCATGTCTTACCTCAGGATACCCCCTGCCCCCCCTCTCCTCTGACAGGGGAGCTAGTTCCCTAGAACGGCTAGTTCGGGAGAATCTCCGGAGCGGTCCTCCTGTAATTATCTTAATATTCTCAGGAGTGCATATGTGAAAACCGCTATTGTTTGATCTATAATGGATTATTTGCTACACTTTTTTATAGAGACAAATTAATCATCATTAGAATACTGTTGTCATTTGGACGGATAATTTTTCTCCCGTCCACATGGGATGTTTTTACTGCATACACCAAAACCTGCTGTAACATAATTTGTCAATACAGCTCAGATTACTACAACTAAAAAGGGAAACAAGAACCCTTCCCGTGCTGAAAATCCAGATCCCCATGTGTAGAATCACAAATTCTACACAAAAAACATTGGTGCGTATGTGTTCATGTGTCTGAACATGTGTTAGGAGGGACTGTGTTCTTTTCCACTGCATGCTCGGTAAACACCAATGTACAACCTTATTGATTGGTCGTTCAACCATCCATCATCCAGTCCACGATGTACTTGGCAAGTGAGGAGCTGTCAAATATGACTCAATGTTGACCCGTCAATACAATAACCAGTCACACAGAAATAACATGCTGCTCACTGTATCTAGTTATCATGATTGAAAGTGTCAGCAGTCCCAGTGATTAATGAGTTATTGGTGGAAGAGGCTGAAAAAGGAAAATAAATTTTTATGTGTTATACTTAAAAAATTTTTTTGTATATGTTTCCCTCCCATTTTTAACTGAATTCAGACACTTTTAAGAACTTTCTTCACAAACATGTTAACAAAGATTATAGAAAAAAACACTTAAGAAGACCTCAATGCATCAGTCAAATCACTAAGGGAGCAACAACTTTTTCAAAGTCAAAGTGTCTGTCAAAGGTGTCGGCTTTCAGCTGCCGTTCACTTTAGCATGCTAGCTGACTGAAATCCATTTCACATAAAACAACAGCTTGGTGACATGAAACACTCAGACAATATTTGTTAGGAAATGTTTAAATGTCTTTTTTATAAGGAGAAAATATAGTCTTACACGGAAAGTATGAAACTCATGATGGCTAACATTGGCTTGGCACTACTCGCCTGGTTGAAGCTTCGTATTAGTGCCAAAACCGTTTTTTGATAAGCACACTTTCAATTAGTAATTTTAGTTTTCAAGTCATCATTTTCTCTCCTCAAGAGCATATTAAGTTAAAATTACAAATGTTAAGATAGATTTAGACAAAAAATGTAAAACTTAAGGCTGGGCAATTAATCGAAAATTAATCGAAAACCGAAATTCAGAACCTCTAACGACGTAATCTTGCCCATGTTGATTATTTTGATTATTTTCAGGGCAGAGTCACATGACGACACGTCTAAACTGTGACATGGAAGCAATGTCCATCGTTTGGACACATTTTGTCTTTAGGGAAGACAACATTGACCAAAAAGAAGTTAAATGTAAACACTGCAGAAAAAAAGTTTGCAAGCAATGCAAGTTATTTCTTTTCTACTGTTTTGGAGAAGTTAATTTCTACTTTAAAACTAAAATGTGTCGTTTCCATTTCAAGCGATGCTTTGATTTCAGTTCCAAATATTCAACAAATGAACCCAAAATATTTCCTCAGATATGCACTCTTTCATTAGAAAAAATATCCCATCTTTAATAGTTGAGCATATTTACAGTAGAGACCATGTCAGTGAACTCTGAGGGCAAAAAACTAAAATAAAATAATCGTTCATTAATCGTAATCGCCAGCCCTGGTAAAACTGCCATAAAAGTTGCATCAAATGTAATGAAAATAATAACTGTGATCTCTACCTTCAGGTTGAGTCTCGGGTCCTGGATCAGCGCTCTGAGGTCACTGATTTGGGGAATCCGGACGGTCTTGATGGCTGCATGGCGCTTTCCTCTACAGGTGTCAGCAGCCAGTGACAGGTTGAGCGGCCCACACCTCCTCACACACTCCCCCTCATCAGCCAGCACCAGACTCTGAGCCTCCAGGCCAAGAGGGGCTTCACAAACAGGAGGGGTGCACAGAGACCGGCCTACAAACAGAACACACAGAGTATGAAAAACGTCTTTCCATATATCATCCCTGTAGTATAAATATCATAATGTGCATGAAAGACGTGTCCCGTACTGGCTCCTCGTCTGAACAGCTTGTCAGTGGAGTGGTTGGAGGGACGGGGTCGTATGTAAGTCTCCAGACTGCTGAGCTGACAGTGGTACAGAGACCTCAGCATCTCTCTGGCTGCTCCCAGCATCACCCTCCTCTCAGCCTGGTTCTTGCTCTGTGACAGCCGTGGGAGCAGAGCCAGCTGGACATGGTACAGAGGCTCGAACAGGTAGAATACCTGGGATATGAAAAAACAAAAAGACAATGTGTATGGCATTATTTGACACTTTCACACAAAATGCAACAGAATACATTTTTTGATGCAATAAGATAAGTGTGGTTTGGGTTATTTGCTGGTAACTCTCCAAATTCTGAAGCCTTGGATGTGTGGACAAGAAAACACATTTGATGTCACTAAAATGATAAATTAAAATGTTATTTTAAATATGTGGAAATCTTAACTGTGAGCTGTATTTAGTTTGTAAAAAAAAAAAAAAAAAAAAAACCCCGCTTGGAGGACTCGAGCCTCCGTTCATTGGGTGCATGTGCTAACAAATAGGCTACCAGTGCCCTGATTTTGAATTTTAAAAGTAAAGACTTTGATATTGAATCAAGTATCTGATCCAATTCCAGCCAGGGACTATTTCATACATCATTTCTCATGTATTTCTGATTATTTGCTTCCCAGCCTTGCTGTAGTTTCTCCCATAGTCCAGATGATATGTGAAAACATGTTTAGTTTCTTTTAATAGCATGAAAGTTGGTACACTTTTTCTCTTTGGGGCTCTGAACATTTTAAAAAATAGAATTCCAATTGCAAATACAGCTGGAGGCCATTTTCCTTTCCAATAATTACATAATAATCTATTTATTAAAACTTGAAAACACTAGAAAGATCATGGTCAACAAATACAGTGAAACCATACGCAAAATCATAAACTGTTCAGGTGAATTATTAATGGTTGATTTTGGGATGTTATGAGTTTTTTTTTACAGTACCTACGTAGGAATGAAACAAATAAAAAAGAGCCTTATTTATCAGCATGTTTGATAGAAAAAATATATTTTTTTTGTGAACAACTTGTAATTCAACAAAGAGTATTTCTGAGGTTTTTGTCTATAAGGTAACATCCCTACCTCTGGATGCTGGTTGAACAGCTGACCCACAAAGGAGGATCCACTCCGTGTCGTAGCCAGAATGAGAATATGGATTCTTTTGTTGGCATTAACCGAGTCAACAGAAGAGGCAGAGGGTGTCCTGGCCTCATCGCAGCCTTGGTCTGTGCCCTCGAGTCTCTGCCGGCCAAGTTTAGTCAGATCTCTGAGGCTGCAGTTGACTGCATGGCCCGTAGGTGTCAGACCAGAATACAGCAGGCTAAGAGGCTTGGTGGAAAAGGTGCGGATAGCCGTGTACTGGATGGCGATGGATGCTAATGCTAGCAGCATCACAGACTTCCAAGAACACTGCATGGTGGCTTGACTTATGCATCAGGACGCCAAGGCAGAGTCAGCTATAGACGAGGGGTCAAAGACAGAGAGAGGACAGGAGATAAAGAGACCTGGGGACCAAATGTTTAGTTTCTCCTTATGGCACCAAACACATATGAAGTCATAGAATAAGTGAAGCCAGTATGACACTGTCTGGCAAAAGCCATATCAACATTAACATTCATTTCCTATAGTCCTAGTGTTGCATCAGATATTGTGAATCCAAACATCACTGTCCATCTCTTTTCAAAAACAGACCATACAAAGCATAAATCTTTACTTTTTTTAAGATCTGGATTAAGATGTTGTTATATTGACATCCTTATTATCTTTCATTTTAAAATAATAATCAGAAATTCAGTTCTTTTCTCCGCCAACATTGGATACAGTGAAGCTGCCACTCATCTGAGACAGATGGTCGGGCACTCTGCAGCTGAAATGGAGGGTTGTGATGGTTTGTGTCAATCTAAGAAATCCTGGCACCAGTCCTAGCTAACTGATCAGCAATCCAGGGAACTCTGTCAGCCTCAAGTCGCTGGAAGCAGCAGTGAAATTACGTGAACACAGTTCCTAAAGAACACGGTTAAAATTAACCGAAACATGTGTGCCTCTGGGCAAAGTTATGAACCTTTTTTTGTTTTTTGTTTTTGCAAGATATCAAAGATTAGTCTTCAAATATTAACTTCATCATTTAATTCAGTTCATAAAAAAAGGTCCAATTGCTGGTAATCTCAAGTCTCTAGTCAACCTAACAACAAATAAAGTCTTACTGCCCAGAATATTCTTATTAATTATATAACTTTATAATACATAATAAAACATGTAACTTTATTAATTAGTGCCTTGCAAAAGAAAAGGGAAGGCTATGCCCAGAGAATAATTATTCTACTTCATATTATTAACTTTATTATTATTAGGCTATTACAAGTTCGCTATTACCGTACATTTTTAAAATTGCATCAGCAATTAGAAACATCTCAAATTGTGCTTAGAATGTAAGACAAAAAAAGTTCTCTGTTTTTAAATCTTCATACCTGATATAATTTACAATTCTCCCTTCAACTGTAAAATAAAGGAGGAAAACACCAAAAAACATGTTCTTTCAGAAATATTTTTGAAAAAATCAAGGTCGGTAATAATCATTCCTCTTGTTTTTATATCCCCTAGTAGGCTGGCTACCTATGATATCTGAATCCTATGTATAGTCTAACTATGACACCCAGCTCTTTCTGTCACCATACCTTGGATCGATATCTGTGTATCAGTGTCGAATATTCCACGAACAACGCTTCATATCTGGCTGTCAGTAATTAAACACACAGCTTACCGTTGTTGTCATTATGTCAGTCAGTCTATAATAGGTTTCAGTCATCTTCATCGTTGTCTCCCCTCAAACAAAGCCTCTGAATATTAGCTGACGTTCACACTAACACAGCGCGAGTTTGTTTTCAATATGCCGTCATTCCCACCACATCTACCGAGCCGCTCCATCTCTGTACACCGGACACATCGACACCTCCTGCGGGCCTCAAGGTGCGTTCATTTACCTCTTTTCAGTGTCGTTGCCGTCAGCAGGAGGCGACGAGTGGGCTGTGGAGGCGACATGACGAATACTGTTACCGGGAGCTCCACCGAAGCTCGTCTGTCTGTGGTCCACACATGGAGGGAGGAGGACACGACCCAAATGTTTACACCCGTGTGTTAGAAATCGTGACGACCGGTATCCATTTTTACACACAGGGTATTGCGCTAATGCATATAATATGTGAGCAACACAGCGCAGGGGGGGAATACTGCTCTGTCTGTCCCCACCGCGTTTCAACACCTCTGTGCCTCTCTCACACAGTCTCTGCCCCCCTTCTCGACCCGCGTTATGATTCACATGTTATCAAGTACAGGGGCGTTGCTATGAATTCTGGGCCCCATCACTACACCCCCCCCCCCAATAAAAATCACATCGTTTGTAGTATAACCACAAATTAATTAGCCTAAACAAATTAGATGATCTTCTTCATCATTGCATATGATCGTCTCTCATGACATTAAAAAACATTGTGTTTTTAAGGCAGATGTGGGCTCCAGTTTAAAACTAGTGTGATCATACACATCTACAGGTTGTAATGGTAAATGGACTTCAGCTTGTGTAGCACTTTTTTAGTCTTCGGACTACAAAAATCATTGTTACACTGCTGGTCACACCTACACATTCACACCCATTTACACACTGGTGGTGGAGGCTGCTACACAGAGACCATCAGGAGTCACTATTCCCCTATATACATTTATATTAATTGAGGAATTTTAACATCAATCAAATGTTTGACTTAACCCTTCTCCCAATCTTTGGTGTTAAGCGTCAGAGAGAGGAAAGAAAAGTGCTATATGAGGTCATTTCCAGCCATGCAAAAATCTGTAAACAGGTTTCAATCCTTCATTGATACAGTCAGTATCAAAGTGCACGTCAGAGTTGATTCATTTTAACAGTCTGCTCTTTTAAAAAATCTAAATCAAAACTACAACCACAGAGAAAACCAACACAATTGACCGAGACCAGAAATCAGGACCCTGGACAGTGATAACACCACAAATGAAGTGGTTCAGCCCTGAGGTTCAGGACCCTGGACAGCGGTAGATAATATGTCATTGTCTCTGATACTGTAAGCACTTTCTTTACGCCTTGGAAAACTTTATCCAAAATGTATTTGTGATGCTGTCTTGGACAGAGTTTGTTTCGTACTAACAAGTGAAAACTGTTTTCATTTTCAGTCAACCAACACCTACCAACACCTTCCTCCTCAGCCATGTTTCTGCTTCATAAAAAGTCAAGTTTGTCAACCAGGCAAGTCATGTACTGTCATTCTTTCCTGATCCCTGCTCACATTCATATGAACATTTCACGTTAATGTTCTCCGCTTATTTCAACACCACATGAACGCTGGTTAAAGTAAGCTTTCATAAACAGATACAGTTATTTTAGGCTACCAGAATCCACAGCTGTGTCTCATTAAAATCTTTTGTTTATAGGGTGTAAATGCTTTTCTGGAGTTGATATTTCCAGCATAGATCAGGGTCGTCCAATACAAACCACCACAGCCTCTCTGACTGATAAGTGACTGTTCTTGTAAGGGCTAAATTAGTCAGAAATTCCATCAAATCGTTTTATGAGTATTAACCATTGTCCATCATTAAATTGTGAGGTGTTTCCTTTTTTCTTGCCATTGAAGTTACTGCAATGTGTGTGAGCATTGAAACATTAAAAAAAAGTACATTTTTGTATGCAAGTTGAATTTTTGTCCATTTTTGTCAACTTGAGCTTGACTTATAACTTATAGCTGAACTGTCATGAAATCACAACAGCATTGAGACCCTCTTGAGATTTAGACCTATGTCTGTTATGAACAAACCTGATGTCATTTGCATTTTCTTTGTTTTTTACGTTCTTACCCAAACCCTCTTTAAGTAGTCTGAAGTCATCTAAATTCATGCATAATAGTCACATATATTTAAGCATGACTTATTGTAGAGCTATTGTGTTTAGTAAACATCTCTGTTTCTACATAAGCCTCCAATGTACAGAAGGTAATATTGCAATATAAAAGTTATCTGCACCTATGATTTCATTTTGATTCATTTTTTAGAAACAATCATTGGCTGAAAAATAAAGATTTCTAGTCATTTATCAAGTGTGATGATTTATTTTATATACATTTCATTTGAATGTCTTAAAATGTTTTAAGAATGTGGGATCAATATGTGACACTTCTTTTTTTTTATAGCCTAGACGCTCTAAAAGGGTAAGATAGGTCAGCATCACATCAGCTGTGCTGTGGCTCCTCTATGATGCACCAGCACAATCTTACCAACAGAGGTCAGTGTTTCTTTGTAAATGTTTTATTGTCCCGCTCATCCACTTTGTAGAATATCATATAATATCTACTGGCCTGTAAGCAGGCTTCATTCAATGAACCTTATTGAACAAACATGAGGTGGCTTTTCCATCAGTAGAGGAATATAGGATTCCAAATGAGAGGATGTTTGAGAGGATGAGGATTTGTTATCACGTTTGAACATGATTGACCCTTAAAAGGCGGGACTGCTTTAATAACTGGATTGACAGCACTTTTTGTGTTACTACTTTAAATAAAAACTGCTTGAGATATCATCCAAAATAGTGAGCAGGCTGTTTATTCTCCTTATAAGTAGTTGGTCAAATGCCTGTCTGTATTTAACACTTCTGTGAGGAACTTCTGTGTTGTGATCATTTTGTTAAACCCTGTGTAGACAAAGTGGTACTTCTCATCTTTTTACTCATCTTTTCCTGAACATGTGACATCAATGTTTTTTGATTTTAAAAAAAGAAAACGGTGCTGGGAGAAATTCCAGAAAAGATGGATCCCTCTTCTTGCTTCTTGCTTGCTATTAATTTCAGTCTGTTTGATAACCACCTAATAACTTCTTACAGGAGCATTAGTGCTACTTGAGTAATTGTTCATTTTTATTCGTGTGCATTTTTTTCAACTGGTATGTCATCAGAGATCTGGCTGGATATGTGTTGATCAGGAAACTCTGGTGGCATGCCGGAGTTACTGGTGAGTAAGTAGAGATCCACCTGATAATAAATCAGCATACAGAACTGTGGTTCCCAACACAAGTCCCTACAGACCAAGCTACTGCCTGCCATGTCCCTTGCTAATAAGCATATTAGTCATTTTGCAGTACTTAGCTGCTGTTTCCTGCAGAGATTTTTTTCTTTCTGCTGATTTCTATTTTTCCTCCACAATTATACCGTACACACGTACACACCATGTACAACTGACCCCTTACAGATGTGTCCCATGTGTGGTAAGTGTGGAAAACTCAGTGGTCTAAAGTATTCATTATAGTGAATTTTTTTGTTTGAAAACTCCTTTAAGATGCATGAAAAAACTTAAATTAAAATTCTAAGATCTCTTTCACACATCTTTATGAGCTATAAAAGGAAAAGTTGACCATCAACATAAAAGACTGACTATTACATATAGTTATTTCTAATGCCCGAACCAGGGTGGTGTCAGATAGTGATCAACAGCAACAATAAACAGCGTTTTTTTTTGTTTTTTTACACATTCCAAGATTCTCGATACTTTTGACTTTTAAAAGAAAGCAGGATTACATTTATGATTTAAACAGAACAGGAAAAACATCTGCAGAGAGGTTCCACTTTGTCCACAGGGGTTGCCAATATATATCAATCTTCTTACATCATCAAGCTATTTCAATAATCAACTTTCCAGCCTTGAAACATGTTTGATAAACGTTTGATTTCTTTGAATTTGTGACATGTGAAGTTGGACAATTGTGGGGGAAGTAGTTTGGAAATAATAACTGATATAACTGAAAATAACAGGCTTATGTTTATGGCTCACACAGGTACTCAGTGATATTTTAAATAGCTCCTTATTTAACAGTATTGCAAAACTGTTCTTTTGACAGCAACTCTTTGTGCCAATATAGATCATGATCTGAATGGGAATTGTGAGTTTTAAGAATGGAGGTGGTTTATGCACTTCCTTGGGTAATTTTCATGCACACTCACAGACCCACAAACACCCAGAGCTGATAAGTATTCAAACCTTGTCTAGACTGCATCACCCCCCCCCCCCAACCCACTTTCCCTCTCTGCATCAGTGCTCCAGCATCCAGAAAGGAAAGAGAGAGAGAGAACAGAGGGATATCCCACCAACATTCACCTTCCCAGATCCAAAGAAGATAAGGCAGGTAAAAACCCTCTCATCTTTTTATTTCTTCAACATTATTTTATCAATAATTATCACAAATAACGTTCTCATTTAAATGTGGCTTTCAGGTGGTTGAAAATATTGAAATAACTTGATTTATCAGTGCCTTTGTAATGACAGCCATTTGAGTAAATAAAAGTATTTTGGTGGATTCTATTGAACAAAAAAGACATTTTGCTTGTAATTTTTGATAAAAAAATGTAACTATGTCATAGAAAAAAATCTATTGTGATTCCCTGTAATGTTAAGTTGAATCACATGAGTGACATATGGTGTAAATGAGCCTTTTTTCCATCTGATCCCTGCTGTTATATAATCTGCCTGCCTGTGTACTGAAGCAGAATACTAAACATTAAGGCTGGGTTCACTCATAGTACTAACTGACTGACAGTACTGACCTCCACCACCAGAGCCACTTTAATGATGTTGAGTAATTTTACGTATTTATTCATTCATGTGATTACTTGGACAGGATCCTATAAAGATTTAAACAAGAATAATACTAACTACGTTTGTCGTTTAAAAGTTAAAATAGAGAATGTTTTAAAGGAGCAACATTTTACACATAAATACAGAAGAAATCTGTAAATATCTTCTCTGAGTCATGACTGTCTACAATGAGTGAGAAGCGTGAGTCCTGCCAGCTGTATTGTTGTCTGAGCTGTGTTTACATCATGTTAACATGGACAGGATGGTCCTGCGTATAAAGCTGTTTTGGTCTACTCACTGCTTATTTGGATGTCACGAAAGTGTCTTTACCTCACCTTCATTCTGTGTCAATGTGCTAACATTAGCCTGCTAACACAACAATGCAGGCCATATGCAATTGCAACTCGAGCAAAGGAGACATTTGTCCGCCGCTTGCGCTTAATGATGCGTTCTAATTGATAATCCTTGAGTGAGTAAAGAGGGGTTAGAGGTGAGTCGCTGCAGGAGAGCGGAGGATTCAGTGTGGCAGAGGTTTCGCCAAACAGCAGTGTGTTTTGGTTTCATGCTGGTGCTCAAGGGCGACATCTACTGGATTGAAAAGTCACACATTCTTTCTTTAGATAAAAAAAATTACACATTTGATGGCCGCTTATATGG